CGTTTCATATGGCCAGTATTTTTTTTTTATTGCTTAGATGGTTGGACGAGCTCACAGCCTACCTGATGTTACGTGGTTACTGGAGCCCATGGACATCTACAATGTAAATGCGCCACCTTGAGATATGAGTTCTAAGATCTCAGTATAATTACAACGGCTGCCCCACCCTTCAAACCGAAACGCATTACTGCTTCACGGCAGAAATACGCAGGGCGGTGGTACCTAGCCGCGCGGACTCACAAGAGGTCCTACCACCAGTAATAGAATTGTAGAACAGTATTTCATAGGCAAAGAGACCTATTATTTATTTATTACCAATGTTTACGTTTTGTTCCTCAGCACAGAAAGTTTTATTAGTGAATATATCAAATTAGATATTTAAATGATAGTAATAATAAAAATATATTTTTGAGCATAAAAATCCATACGTTTCAAACATATTGTTTTTATAAAAGTCAATTTCTCGGTCAGTCTACGGGTTCTCCATAAAACTTCCTAGACCATAAAGGCGATAGACCCTAGCGAGTTGTTTTATATGATAGCTCCACTTTACGATCTGCGAACATCTTATCATGTTGAAAATGATTTATGAGAGTGTCGTATGAGTCAGTATGTTGAAAGAATCAGGTCACACGTTTTTGGAGCGTGAGGGATGTGCCAATTCTCAATCGATTATCCGCGTCAAATGAGCTGGAAGAGATGTTGATGCCTTTCCTTTATACATAATTACGCCGTCGTTAGCATCCGTAAATCTATATCAATATATAAATAATAAATAATAGTTTAAAAAAACTAACAAAATACGCTTTTATAGAAAATCCAACAAAAAAATTGAAAATAAATTTTAATAAATTTGAATAAAATAAAAAGCGTGGGGTACATGGTATCGGTAGTTATAAATATTTTATAAACAGGTATGAGTGGAAGGATTATATTGATAATATTCTGAAAAGCACCCCACGCTTTTTTACAATAAAATCATTTTTTCTTACACTATTTTTAACTCAAATTTATTAATATTTATTTTCTATTTTAGTTGGATTTTCCATAAAAGCGTATTTTTTTGTTTTTTTAAACTATTATTTATTTTTCATTTTTTAGTTGAATTACAATTTTTTTTTTTTTTAAATATTGAATTGTTATCGGTCCTTAATAAGTATGACAAATTTCGAGTTAATCCGACGTTTTGAAGGGGGTCAAAATCATGTTCAAAGATTCCGTTACATACTAACATACATACGTATGAAGCTAATAAAAGCGTATTAAAAAGACCTTATTCGGAGTTATACAAACATTCTAAAATCAGACTAATTATGCACATTTGATACATTTAAAAATTAAAATATTGAATTTTTTGCTGTTGCTGTAATCATGTTTTTTTTTATTGCTTAGATGGGTGGACGAGCTCACAGCCCACCTGGTGTTAAGTGGCTACTGGAGCCCATAGACATCCGCAACGTAAATGCGCCACCCACCTTGAGATATAAGTTCTAAGGTCTCAAGTAAGTTCCAACGATTTGAAGGCTTGGCCCATTGTGGTTATTATAAGTGTAGTACTATTGACCTTAGCATCATCGGTGTCCATAGAAAACTGTGATCATTCATTACCAGGTGGCTCCACTACAGTTGTAGGCAATAAATAAAAACTATTTTTTTTATGTCTGATTATTCCGGATATTTCCACATTACTTAGTTCCATAACTTACATTTGCTTCCATAAAACCTGAAATAAAACTAATAGTTTTAGTTATGTTGAATTTAAATTATATGTGCCTAGTGTAAAATTAAATTTAAATTGAAATCTTCTGAATTGATCGGCAAGCGCATCACTTAAAATGGCTGGACCGTTTTGGCTAAAATTCATTCAGGTCAGTTTTATAAGAACAGAAAAACAATTATTTTTTGTAGAATTTACAAAACGATCAGTTCGTCAGCAGGTACAAATGGAAACCTTTGATGTTCCTGACGGTCGCATAAGATTCCAGCTATTCTGACGTTTTCTTTTTTCTTGTTGCCCTCGTCTCACATAACGTAAGGTCGGTGCACGATGACCTTTTATGCAGCATCTCATGGTAATAGTTATTATTTTATACGTTTATTATTTAGTATAATTTTACGACCATCCTCCAGCCTGACTTCAACGCTCCTTAGATTACATCTCCGTAATATATCCTTTGCAAAGTGCCAGAAGGAGGGATTTTATCTCTCTCTACTTTCTGCGTTTCTTTTATCATTAACCTGCTCGTTATAACTAGTTCGCTTTTTACCTTATTCGCCAAATGAACCTCTTCCTTTAATTCCAATCGTAAATGATGTGAATCTCAATAGGTAGTGGGAGTAACTTGATACTGGCGCAAAGTTTCCTCGTTTTAAGGCCAGCCGTTATCCGAGACAGCTCGATTGAGACCTTGACCTCAAAAAGCAATACGATTTTCCCAAAAGTATAGGCATACGTTCACTAAAATTCGAATAAAGAATTATTTTTAATCCCTTTATCTTCATAAAGCTTTATATACCGTTTATATACGATAATGGCGTAAACGTAATCCGTACATAAACGGTAGCTTAGGGAGAGAAAAAATATTATTGTGCCCCTACTCAATTATTGGCACTTCTCGACAAAATCCGTGGAGCATGGTGACATCGATGCAAGGGGATGATTTCGGAATTATAGCGTGTTACTAGATAAGACAGGTACGCTCCGAAAATGTTTGTGTCCAAAAGCGATTATATCCGGTATGAAGCATAGAGCCTTTCGAAAAAGACTTTGATTTCATACTTCAAAGAAGAGGCATTTGTGAATTAACACCATACCAGTAGTCCCGCAGTAGTCGAAATTCGACTATAATTAATTGAAATTATACACTATTATGATTCTATTTACAAAGACTATTATACTTCTATAATCACATATTTGGCCAAGACTACACTATAGAAAAATATTAATAAATACCAACAATATTTAATCTATTCTCAATTTGACAACAGACGTCAAGGACAAAAGTTTGACAATAAATAAATAGTATGCATGCGTGTGTGCGTAAAATACATGTTAGTGTGTGTAATGTTTTTTTATTGATTTAATGTATTTTTTAGGAATAATTTAAAAAAAAAATTAACCTTCTGCACTCCTTTTCTATATTCTCTATAAGTGTGGGAAATTTCATACTCCTACGTCCGCACAATTTTCGTAAAAAGGGATACAAAGTTTTTGCTTCATGTATTAATATATAGATAACTCATGAGTTGGCTGCCTATAAAAGATTCCAATGGCATTTAATGAGAATAACCACGAATATATTTTTTTCTTGCATAATATTCAACACAATCACATTTAGATTAACTTTTATTCTCAAAACAAATTTCCTTTACGAAAAATTAGGAAAATTCAAGTACTCAAGCCACTTTAATTTTACATTGGAACAACGCTATTTCTAGAATGTCGTGATCATTGTACAAGTTTCCTATTACCCAATACATTAGCTTTATTGATCGTACGATGCGAGTCGGTTTATTTCTGGGGTCCCTATAATAACGTTTGATGTAGTTGCTTTTGATCACATCAATGTACATTGTTATATTAGAAAGTGAAGCGAGATTACTCGACAGGTCCTTTTTGTTTCTTTAGCTTGTTAGGAACTATTTTTAGATGACACTTTGAACTATACAGAGTAACTATATATTAATACGTGAAGCAAAAACTTTGTATCCCTTTTTACGAAAATCGCGCGAACGGAGGAGTATGAAATTTTCCACACTTAGGTATAGAGAATATAGAGAAGAAGTGCACAATGCTATTTTTTTTTTTAAATAATGCATAAAAATACATTTAATCAATAAAGAAAACAATACACACAACATACCATGTATTTTGAAGTCGTCGTGGCCTATCGAATAAGACGTCCGGTGCATTCGTGTTGAGCGATGCACCGGTGTTCGAATCCCGCAGGCGGGTACCAATTTTTCTAATGAAATATGTACTTAACAAATGTTCACGGTTGATTTCCACGGTGAAGGAATAACATCGTGTAATAAAAATGAAACCCGCAAAATTATAATTAGCGTAATTACTGGTGGTAGGACCTCTTGTGAGTCCGCACGGGTAGGTAACACCACCCCGCCTATTTTCTGCCGTGAAGCAGTAATGCGTTTCGGTTTGAAGGGTGGGGTAACCGTTGTAACTATACTGACACCTTAGAACTTATATCTCAAGGTGAGTGGCGCATTTACATTGTAGATGTCTATGGGCTCCAGTAACTACTTAACACCAGGTACGCTGTGAGCTCGTCCACCCATCTAAGCAACAAAAAAAAAATACAGTTCACATTAGCTTTTTTAAATCCACCCGTATACATTTCATTAATTCATCCACACGACTTGTATTACTTTACTGATTAAATTCTAAATTCCCGAGTTGCTTTTGAGCGTATATATTCAAGTACAATATTAATACGCATAAATTGGTACATATTGTAGATGTTATTGAAATTTCAGAATTTGTGACAACTTATTGTGAANAAAAAAATACAGTTCACATTAGCTTTTTTAAATCCACCCGTATACATTTCATTAATTCATCCACACGACTTGTATTACTTTACTGATTAAATTCTAAATTCCCGAGTTGCTTTTGAGCGTATATATTCAAGTACAATATTAATACGCATAAATTGGTACATATTGTAGATGTTATTGAAATTTCAGAATTTGTGACAACTTATTGTGAAGATTTGATTATAATTTACGATTCTTGTTTATTGCGGACAAGAAAAGCTGTGCAAAAGTAAATTTGGATTTTTAAATCCTATTATTTAAGGAGCTAAAAAAACACATTTCTATTTTTAAATTTAGTGTCAATAATATTTAAAGTTGACATACCAACATGAAATTGATGCAATCATAGTCGACTTTATAGTCAATAAAATATCCGAAATAAAGTTAAAATAAAACAGTATGCTAAAATAGGAACTCATTTATTTACATACATCAAATATAATTACAAAACGACGAAGAAAATTATCAGTAAAGTTAAATGGCATCTTGAGCAAAACTCTTTGTAACAATTAAATTATGCTTCGTTTATTAATTAATATTATTAATGCTCATTTTATATATAATTACATACTAAAATGAGTCTCTTGGAATTACTTAAAATAATCTTATTACGAATGGAATGCTTATTTGAATAAGAAGAGAAGATAAAAATAATGAAAGTAAGCAGCACGTAATCTCATTTAGTAATTAAAACCTAAGATAATTTTTTTAAGAAAGGAAATGTAATTAGAAATAATGTTCTTAATAAACACGTGTACTAATTTAGTTAGCGTCTCTCTAAATTAAAATTTAATAGAAACAACCCGATAAATTGAAGAATGAAACAGAAAATTCTTTCAGTTCTTTGGGTTCTAAAGATAAATTGTCCATCTATTTATCGACATGATATTATTTTATCTTAACCTTTCCAGCGATATCATAAAAAATAAGCACTTAATTCAATAACAAAATAGTGTAAAATTGTGACAACTGATTACAAAATATCACATGCACTAGCCCTGCATTAGATTACTAAATAAATTAATCACTAACGCGCTCCAATGTAAAGTATCAAATTCACGCAAACATATTTATCGACTTATTGATTCAAAGTATTTAATATTGAAGAAATACTTTCACACAACCCATTTTTTATTACTCATAAAAATCAGATTGCGTAAAGAGTGAGTGATAAATAAAGGTCAAGTTACATGATTTGAGAATTTTTCAGATTAATAACATCTATTTATTTAAAGCAACAAAATAATTATGCTCTATTCGTTATGTCTACAAAATAATAACTATTGGATACGGTCTTAGATATTCTCCGTAATTTAAAGTAACATATTCAACTGGTTACCGTTTGGAGCCTTGAATCCAAACGCCCTATTCATAATACTTGTTAGAATGTTAATAGCCGCTATAAATTTAGATCATCTTCTGTCTCGCTCTCACTGTAATCCTTCAGAGCCAACCGGATCTCTTCCTCGACCTCGGAAGCGCTTTGCTGTTTTTCGTCCGACGATAATTTGTTGTACGCGATGTTCGAATTGTAATTGTTCGTACCGTAAAACCATTTCAGGGTCCACGATATAATAAAATAAAGAGAAATAAAACAAATACAGAACAAAACTAGGGAAAGGACGACATTCAATCTATAATGCCAGTTGACGTCGCTTATCTGTGACACGACCTTTTTTGGGTAGCAATAGTATTTGAGAACCGAATCTGTCGAAGTGAACAACTCCGCGTCGTCTAGACAAGATACACATTGACTGTCGTGAGGACCTGCGCACGTGGCACAGGTGTAATGGCAGGGCAGGCAAATTAAAGGATCTTTAGTCGAGTTCGCATACGGTTCCATGTCTAAAGCCTCCAGAGCTGACGATTTTAGTGACCCGTCTTGCCGCTTGCTAAGGGAACCCTCAGAAAAAATTGTAAGGTTACGTCTTCTGGAGCTCCGTTCCATCGAGATCTCATTGGCGTACGTACCGTCCGGACAACGTGAGTAGCACCGCCCGTTGTACAAATGCAAGCCCTTCGCGCATTCTAATGAAAGAAAGAGAACAGAGATGTTTAATTTACACGAGTCAGAGAGAGAGGCCGTCACCACCCTTCACCTCGGTCAGCGTCCATGCAGCTTCTCTTGCTTACAGCCATATGTCGTACTTGATCTAAAAGTACCATTTCAAGACGGGAAAATGTAGGAAGAATTAGGAATGATTCGATACGGGAAGAAGGATCAAGTATCTTGTCACTGATCTCATGTAATTTTGCCTCAATAGAGAATACCTTCGTTCTAAATGTCAAGATAAATTTAAGAAAACAAACGAGTATAGTAAAACTAAACATGCAAAAAAAAACGTGCACAAAATTAAATGAAATCAGAACATTCAAAGTGATTTATGTCAATAATTTTTAATTTTCGTGCTAAAACAACGTAACTAAACAGTGATATTAGTAAGGCGAACAAAGATACGTATATTATTTAAAAAAAAACACAAGCACACGTAAAGCAAAGCAAAACATGCAAACACAATACAGTTTGTTTTCATAAATTAAATTAAATAAACTTATTGTGACTAACTGCTATTAACGCAAATAAAATCAGAGACAAGACTCGACATTGATACATCAAAATGAAAACCTTATGATTTTGTAATAAAAGATCGTTTTTATTTTCTGTTCACATGATTTCGATATATACAAATTATGCTTAAATGTTTACATTCATAGAAACAGTTCAATGGGTAGCAGCTACTTGAAGTCAAATTTGACGAATACACTTTACAAAATGCTTTTTTTTTTCTTCAATTTATGACTTTTTTTTATAAATAATGTTATTATAATAACGCTCAAAACAAAACGAGCAACAACAAAATGTATACATCTGATTTAATTACGCTTGATTACTAGTAATACGTGAAATATCAATAGTTTATTTGGAAAATTAAAAAAAAAATGATTACTTAACGTTCTCATTAAATTACTTTACATTTAGCTAAACCAGTCGATGACAAAAAGATTAACGTCAGTCGTTTTGTTTTTTTTTTTTTTTTTTTTTTCATTTTTATTTAATTCAATTTACAGCATCGTGAGCAATTTGTACAAATCTCCAAACATATTTTATATTCGATACATATAACTATGTTATTTACAAATCGTTTTATTTCTATCTAAACTACACGGATTGGCAATCTCTGCTATGATCACAACCACAATACGCAATTATTTAAAGATACCTAACGTTTATATTACAACTACTTTTATGAAAACCTACATTTTTACTTCATTCAACATAGTAGAATACTAAAAAATAATAATAAAATGCTATGTGTAAACAAATTACTATGGAAAATGATTTAATATTTTTTTAACCAATAAAAATTTGAAGTAATTTTGTATAGTACTATGTTGAGAGTGCATGGATAGAGATATACAATAATGTAACATTCATTTTAACTAATTATTACAAAAGATATGTATACTACTTAAAAATTCTAAACGAAGAACACTACGACTTACATCATAAATTAGTTATTTACGTCTTTCGAGAGACCATCTTTTTGTATCAATTCAAATAAAAATTACCTATTATTATGCAGATTATTATTGAATTACATATTTATTATAGAATTTAAATAAAATGAAATAAATGCTTCCACAATTTGGTTTACGTTTATTATTGTTTATTAGTATTAAAAAAAAAACCATACAATGATATCGCTTAATGATTTCAAATGAAATTATTAAGTACTTTTAATTTCAAAGCGTTTATATTAATTGAATTTAATTTAATTCAAATAGCATTGCTTTTAAATTTAGAGTTTCAGTATGAATCGGACATAAGTACAAATTCATTCATGCTTGTANACAATTTGGTTTACGTTTATTATTGTTTATTAGTATTAAAAAAAAAACCATACAATGATATCGCTTAATGATTTCAAATGAAATTATTAAGTACTTTTAATTTCAAAGCGTTTATATTAATTGAATTTAATTTAATTCAAATAGCATTGCTTTTAAATTTAGAGTTTCAGTATGAATCGGACATAAGTACAAATTCATTCATGCTTGTAATAATTTTTCGTGAAAAATGGACGTTACCAACTTGAGATCGTATTTACACATTACACATTAAGAGTTAATTGCACTTATTAAGTTTAATATTTAATTATTTACTGTATCATTAACAATCAAGTGGCTTACATGGGTCTCGCCCGATTACTTGGGGTTACAAAATATTTATAACAAATAAATAAAAATAAGTACATTCAACTATTGTATATGAATAAATTGTAATAATAAATTATCATTGTGATCGGACAGCATATAAATAAATTAGTATACATAATAATAAGATATTAAAAAAACATATTGTACTTAATAGAAAATAACGTGGTATATTTTAACTAAAATCACATGCCGCGATGGCGAGTTGGTTGGTACATTGCTCTGTGCGAGAAACGAGTCTCGAAACTCTGAATACATTAGCATTGTGTCAGTTATAGCTCACTAACTCGTGATTAATTGTTCGCAAGGCGCCCTAGGCGGCCTGGTAACATTATGTTTTACACCTAATCTTAAGTTAGCAGTTAGTGCACAGTTTCTTAATCTAAGTGGCTGTCTGCTTCGCGTTAGATCGAGTTGAGGCAAAGCTTCGGCCGCTAGCAACAGTATGAGCAAGAGACACAAACCTATGCAGGTATGCGGCGGCTGCGGAGCGCGGGTAGCGCAGCCCGCGGCGCTCGCAGCGTACTGCCCCGTGTCGACGTCTCCAGCACCGACTGGATTCTCTTCACGGATCTGAGAGCACGGTCGTCTTGTGATTGACTGTTTTTGTTTTATTGTTTAGACGAGTGAAAAAGCTCGCGGCTTGGTGTTAAGAGGCTACCGGAGCTCATAGACATGAGGGGTGGGGCAGCCGTTGTAACTATACTGAGACCTTAGAACTTATATCTCAAGGTGGGTGGCGCATTTACGTTGTAGATGTCTATGGGCTCCAATAACCACTTAGCACCAGGAGGCCTTGAGCTCGTCCACCCAACTAAGCAATAAAAAAAATGAACAAATTTCAATTCTACAATACAAAGGTTGTGCGACCCTTCAAACCGGAACGCATTACTGCTTCGCGGCAGAAATAGGTGGGATGGTAACATACCCGTGCAGACTCACAAGATTCCTTACCACCAGTTTGACATTTAATCACGTAGACATGTATTTATTCTTACGTGTATATTTACGTAATTATTGGTGATAAAGAATCCGTCACAACCAACAACCACTTTTAGATATAAAAAAAATATTTAGTTTTGGTTAGCCAATGGCAAACTCGGGGAATCACTACTAGTTTAATTTCAAAATTTACCATTTGAGAGTATTTATATAGCATGTAACGAAATCGCCATGGGAACTACTCTTGAGTTTCTGCACAAATTGGTATGTAGTATATCATCATCAGTTAAGATATTTAAAATAGAAGGTTTATATTTAAACTAAACATATATTTAGTACTAGCTGACCCGGCAGACTTCGTAGTGCCTCAGTCAAGAAATAAAAGACCTAAACTTTTGTATAAAATAAACTTAAAACAAACAAAAGGAATCCGTCCGACGGGGGACAAATCAAAGGAAAAACAAAATTGTTATTTTTATTTAATTCCGAGCATTTTCATATTTGTCTACCTTTCAAACCTTCTCTGGAATTCCACAAATAATTCAAGACCAAAATTAGCCAAATCGGTCCAGCCGTTCTTTAGTTTTAGCGAGACTAACGAACAGCAATTCATTTTTGTATATATAGATTTAGAACCTTCAATGAATGTAAAAAAAAACCAGCTAAGCCCCGAAATCAGAGCGGTCTGTACTGGTTGAAATATGCGTACTAAATTTTTTAAGAGTTCTACTATACTGTACTCAAATACCGTACAAAACCAAACTGGTTTTGCAATTACAGATTTTTATTAATTACAAAAACATAAAGCTCAATTTCACGCGATGAGATTTAATTAAAACACTAAATTATATTGTTAAGTGAACAATTCTATTCGCATTTAAGCTGAAGATGAACTACAACTTCTTAACAAACAAATAATAAGGCCTATATTAAAACGAAATAACAAGAAAACTTATTAAGTAATGCTATTCAGAAACATAATTAGTTCGGGCTTAAAATTAGTAACAACTTGAGTCAATTTTCTAAACAAAATCCAAGTGTTTTAGTAAACACTCTTCTTAAGCATAATGGATTTTCGTACCCAAATTAACTTAATTTACTCCCTGGTTCAGCTCAAGCGGAATATCTGGGTCGATAAAAAAAATCTAATTAAATTATTAGTATTATTTTTTAAAGAAAATGTTCACTAGTGGTAGGACATCTTGTGAGTCCGCACGGGTAGGTACCACCACCCCGCCTATTTCAGCCGTGAAGCAGTAATGTGTTTCGGTTTGAAGGGTGGGGCAGCCGTTGTAACTATACTGAGACCTCAGAACTCATATCTTAAGGTGGGTGGTGGCATGTACGTTGTAGATGTCTATGGGCTCCAGTAACCACTTAACACCAGGTGTGCTGTGAGCTCGTCCACCAATCAAAACAATAAAAAAATGCTTTTTTTAAATGTTTTTAATAAAATAATAAATCATTATTCTTTGGATAAAAATATTTTCAATATAAATCAGAGGTTCTCAAAGTTTTCGATTTGAACACTTTCTTCTTTGGGTCGCCGCCATTTTAGTTACATTCCCAAGAGGAATGTCATCTATAATGCATCGTCACTCCGTCTAACTATATCCGTCGTCACTCCATATTTCACGTCACGTGTATATCGGCCCACTCATCCATGAACCACAGACCATCATTTTGTTTTGTATGTACGTCAAGCAATACTGACAAAGGCCTAAATACACAACGCGGTCGTAGATTTCCGCATTAAATCAAGGGATGCCAACAATATGGACTGACATAAATGATGATCAAGCGAATCATTCAAAACAGAGTGCGGAACCATGTTCTGTCCGGAACCATATGAATGATCTAAAAAGGTTTTATTCGGTACTCTTGGGAACTGTCAGATACGTGACGTGTATAATAACATTTAAAATGTTCTATTTTGGTTGTATACATTAGGTGTAGGTGTAGAACAATGAAATCAATCTCATCTCTTCAGGTCAGATCTCATCTCGTAATGAAATACGTACTTAACAAATGTTCACGATCGACTTCCACCGTGAAGGAATAGCATCGTGGAATAAAAATCAGGCCCGCAAAATTACTGGTGGTAGGACCTCTTGTGAGTCCGCGCGGGTAGGTACCACCACCCCGCCTATTTCTGCCGTGAAGCAGTAAAGTCAGCTTGAAGGGTGAGGCAGCTGTTGTAACTATATTGAGACCTTAGAACTTACATTTCAAGGTGTGTGGCGCATTTACGTTGTGTATGTCTATGGGCTCCAGTAACCACTTAACACCTAGTGGGCTGTGAGCTCGTCCACCCACCAAAGCAATATGGCATCGACAATATCTATGGGCTCCGATAACCACCTATAACCGAATAGGCTGTGAGTTTTTTTGAACATAATGCGTAACAAATAAAAGCATTGGCTAAATCCAATTAGCTATAGCAGAGCCCGTGTTCTGTTGTTACGAAATTATAAAAAAACAATACGATTTATTTTTAAATGCAACGCGGATTACGAAAGAGGATTACCGGAACGTTTATTCGCTTCGTTTTTAAACGCACGATGAACGACAAAGCTTAAAAATTTACATTACAAAAAAATATCGTTTTTTTTTTGCAAAGGAAATTCAGACAAAAATACACTGTCAGAATATCGATTTCAACAATAGCATTTACAGATCCTAACTACATCGTAAATTTTGTTTTGGGTTTTAACATCTTCAATTCTTCATTTGAGACTAGATTTCATTGCGGAAGAGAATTTACAAAAATGAATACAAGTGTGACGACATATATTTTTAACAAATCGCAAAGAATCTAAACGTTGTTTTGATTATGGGACATACACTTCAAAATGACGATGGCAAATATTAAACCTAGCTATTACCATTAAAACCCGGCGTGAAAACGAGGTTGATCGGGATAACCGGAATTTATTAAATGGGTAACCTTAATACGTCACAAAGGTGGCAAGATTAAAAACTTTAGAAACCACTGGTCTAGTGTTTATTTACCTCGACAACAGTACTACGAGGCCATGGCTCGATTTTCGATTTGAGGCGGTGTATTGATCAAAGATATTTGGTATTCAGGTTCTATTTCACATGTGTGACGGGTTCGTTGATATTCCCCCTAAATTTTTTCAAATTATTAATGAACTTTAATACTAAGACGTACCGTTTGAGAGTCGTGCCAAACGAGAGCCAGATCATCATCAATGGCGTTCTGTCTTACTTCTTCAATAGATTCAGGCTCAGACAAGGTCCAAGGTTTTGTGTCCACCCGAGAATTTTCGCCCAAAGAGTTGGTATCCGGTGACACGTCTTGCTCCTGAGCCGGTGTCTCTGTTCCGTAGAAAATCAGCTCCCATTGAGTTAAAGTGCCGGCTTCTGTAAAACCATTGTACTGTATAGTATCTTAAATTTATATACGCTTTTTAACGGTTATATATGTGAGAATAAGTTAAAGATCATTATTTTAGCTGATGCAAAGATGCTATCGGGAATTGGAACTTCATAACAATGACATGACAAATTATCTTATCAATACCAAAGTTCACAGTGCAAATTTTTATTTGGGGTTCACTTAATATCGACAACAAAAATTCACGTAGGTACTCGTAAAATTAAAATTTGGATCGAAGAATTTTTTAAATTAAACGTGATATAAAAACCGTTGATTACTAATTACTTAAAAGTATAAAACGATATGTGTAAGTAAATGTAATATTAAGGTAAGTGTCAGAAGCTGCTAAAGCGAAATTAAAAGAAACACTACAAATAATAATGAATAAATAAGAAGAAAGTTCTCGTATTAATTGATCGAGTTACGATTAGTACAGACTTTTTGTTCATTATCAAGTCAAATATTATTAAGTTACGGGCGAGAACTTTCTTGAAACAACAACAATAACAACAAAAAATCTAAATTAAACAATCGACTAAACGTTGTAATAAGAATTGTCTTCTAAACGACAGGTTTACTAAAGATCTGCAACAAAAAAAAACGCAAAAACACATGCAGAGCTCTAGGCAAAACATGCTCTAGGCCAAACAAGACGGGACACAACATGCACACAGGCCGCTGACCTCTGTAGATACAATCACGCTGGACTGGCTCACAAAATTGCTAGTTGTTTTTACGTGTAGACGAAATTATATCAAAAATTTGACGCTCTCAATATAACCAAGAGTCTCTTGAACACGGCAATTCTGTTTTAGCCAAGAAATAATTGGCTGTTCAATCGATTTTAAAATGATATTATATTGTAGCCAGGATATTTGTAGGGGTGTGTCAGCCAGTCCAGATGTGGAGGTGAACGACACAGGCGCAGAAGTACCGTGGGCCTGTAGCGGCGCGGGGTATATCCTCTGTATCTTGGGGTACTGCTCAAACAGGTTAGACATCTTGCGGCCACGCGCGTCCGTTCCGGGGGGGGTGTCGGCTCGGAGGTGCAGACTAAGGTCAGCCGGGACAGGGGGGACAGCAGAGGGGGTCGGGGTCGTCCTCGCCCCGGGCCTGCTCTGCTTCGACTTCTGCGAATTCCTGTTCGGATTCTTTGAATTCTTGTTCTTCTTCCTTTTGACTAAGCCGACGCTGTAAGTCGGCGCTACAGGAACTATCTTCCCCCTGTTGTTCTTACGGCCGGCTTGTAAGACGACGGGCCGCGACGCGTTCCCCTTGTTCCGTATGATCGGATTCCGGAATGGTATCGGATCGTTTTTCGCGGCAGGCGTGCTAGTCCCATATAATGTTAATGACCACTCTTGCAACGACGCTCGGCCTACGGTTTAGAAATTAGTGTTAACTGTTTCCAGGCGGCATACGAATGAGGGTTATTATTGGTGAACGTTTCTCGTAGAATGCTATGAAAAGGAATTAAAAAAAAAACACAATGAATTATATTCGTGAATGCGCAAAAGTTACTGATGGTAAAATGTTCTTGTAATATCTGTTAAGCTTCCAGTAATTCCAAAGCCGATGAACGCAGTAACGCCCGATTCCTTTGAATGAAACTTGGCCGAGGAAAAAAGGCTACAGTTTGTTATTGACAGGTCATTTAACATTGGATAAACAGAGTACGTACCCATGTAGCGGCCTTCATTTGTGACCTCCAGTTGCCACTCGCCCAACGGATTCTCACCCCACATATGGACCGACATGAAAGGCCACGAATTGAAGCCGCTATGCGAAGAATCGTGCGGCCTACGAAAGAAAAAATTAACACAAATTATTTATAAGCGAACTAGCTGACCCGGCAGACTTCGTAGTGCCTCAATCGATAAATAAAATACCTAAACTTTTGTATAAAATAAACTTAAAACAAAAAAAGGAAAAACAAAAATTGTTATTTTTATTTAATTCCGAGCATTTTCATATTTAGTCACCTTTTAAACCTTCTCTGGACTTCTACGAATAATTCAAGACCAAAATTAGCCAAATCCGTCCAGCCGTTCTGGAGTTTTAGCGAGACTAACGAACAGCAATTCATTTTTATATATAGAGATTTGCTGTTTAATTTATTCAAATTTATTATGGTGTTTTTAATTTAAGAATCTATGCAATATCCCCAAATTCAAACGAACAAAAAAAAAATATTTTCCCAATACTTTATAAATCTAGATGGCATTCGATTTAGTAAATGAATGAACGAATAAGAATCAACATGTAATTTCTTCGTTAGTGGTAACCGAGTCTCGTCACGTTTCCTAATCTAATTACATCGCAATACCACATTATGAATAGTAAGCTGAGGATTCAAGACGTTGATCTAATTATAATAAGTAAATATGTTTTCCTAATGAATTTCTGCGTGGTTAAATAACGTATTCATTGTAAATGTAGTCGATTATTTTGCCCTTGAGGACAAACGAAAATACGGCCCGCTTGATGGTGAGTGGTTACCGTCGCCCGTGGACATCAACAATGCCAAGGGCAAGCCGCTGCCCACCGGCAGCAAATTACGCTCGTATTTATTCTCTAATTAGCAATAAACAACAGAATCGAATAACAAAGAGTCTTCAAATTGTGTAATTTATTTTTGGTAACACATCAGTTTTACTCTTAAATCAATAAACAAGATTTGTAGAGAAAGCTTTAGTATATAATTTTCACGATAGTCAAAGCAAAATTCAACGACGATTCACTATACTTGAGACCTTAGAACTTATATCTCAAGGTGGGTGGCGCATTTACGTTGTGGATGTCTATGGGCTCCAGTAACTGCTTAACACCAGGTGGGCTGTGAGCTCGTCCACCCTACTAATAAAAAATAAAAAATAATAATAGGCAATTTTCCCTTACCTAGGCGCCAACAAAGTGACATTAGTTCCAGCCGGCGAAGTCAAAGTGATGCGAAGATCTCCTCTTCTCGCGGCCGATAAAGAAATTCGGGCTTGAACGTGCTCTAAGTAATTAACTCCGGGACACGAACTTACGGCCAGCTGTGGGAAAATTTTTTAGTCAAAAAATTTTTTTACTGGTGGTAGGACCTCTTGTGAGTCCGCGCGGGTGGGTACCACCACCCTGCCTATTTCTGCCGTGAAGCAGTAATGCGTTTCGGTTTGAAGGGTGGAGCAGCCGTTGTAACTATACTTGAGACCTTAAAACTTCTCAAGGTGGGTGGCGCATTTACGTTGTGGATATCTATGGGCTCCAGTAACCACTTAACACCAGGTGGGCTGTGAGCTCGTCCACCCATCTAAGCAATAAAAAAAAAACCTCTTAAATTCAGCATAAGCTTGTATCTAAATATGTCCTCATCCAAATCCGATTACATTTACGTTTACGTTTTTGTTCCATTAAACATATGGTTACGCCGGTAAGAGTAACGCCATCTATCGCCGAATAGTCGAACGAATGTCGAAAGATCTAGAAACACCTAATACGCTCGAAAAGTACAGCGCCATCTATTGACAGATAGCGGAAACTACTACTAGAGATGTGTGAAATATTCTCGATAATTCTAGGAATGACGTATCGGCGTATAAAAGCGTTGTAGGGATGGCACGCAGTCAGTCAGTAATCGGAACCACTCGAAGCGAAACAGCGAACGGATCACCTGAAGCGAAGCGGAACAAGCGAATTGAGAGTTTTAAAGTGTTTGTTGAGTGTTTTAAAGTATTTGTGAAGTGTGTAAGTGTTCTAAGAGTTGAATACAGTTTTTTAGTTGTACTTTGGTGAAATTTTATTTATCCGGACCCGGAAATAAATATTATAACGAAACAATATTTATTTCCGCCCTGGATGTTTATATTAGAGCGAATATTTTAAGATCATACGATCTAACTGTGGGCATACTCAATATTGGTTAGTTTTTACTGGGAAAACTGCTGAGATAAACTGACAAGCTTTAGGCCTTTGAAGACATCGAAATTTGTTTCGATTATGAAGTTTTTAATACAACAATATAAACGAAAATCATGCAGAAATAGCCAATAATTTGTTAAATGAATATAAATTAAAAAATCAGTCCAGTTCTGATCCACTAACGCTGGGGAATCCGTTTACGGATACCCGGTCAATAGGGGAACAGACCGGGTTACGTCTGCAGGCCTCTAGAGAAGAAAAGGGAGATGAAGAAGATCGAGGTCCAATATGTATCCCTTAAGAAAAGCTTTATATGATTTCGACTTCTTCTTATAGAAAAGAAATGGGTAGCCGTTGTACTGTTAAAACTGAGACCTAAGAACTCGTATCTCAGGTAGGCGGCGGCGTATGCGTTGTCGATGTCTATGGCTCCGGTAACCACTTAACATCAGGTGGACCGTGAGCCTGTCCACCAATCTTTATAAATAAAAAAAGGTTATTTTAAGAGACAGCAGTCTGCGTTTTCAAAAATCTATTCATGAAATTACTGAGCATCATTAGGTTTTTTTAATACATATATATTTTAATAATTGTTAAATAGACAGGCTGGTGGCCGTACCGACTAATAAGACGTCCTGCCACCTGCAAGAGACGTCCCATCACCAGTAAACTATTGATTTTCTTGTTCTCGCTTTTTAAAAATCTAATCCTCATATTTAGAATTACGAAAAACGTTAAAACCGTCCTCATAAGTGTTGGGTCTCAACCAGAGCGAGATCCATATCGAGTATAATGGAAGTTAGTGTACCGCACAGTTACGACGCGACGGGCTGAATTTGCAACGCGCGAGTGTGAATGAACGCTCTTCCAATTCCATTAGCATAAACGTGCATCGCGCTGACAGTAATGTCTTACTGAAATGTGCTAAAAGCCTTAAAGTGTTCAACACACTCGTTTCATGCGGTGCCTCTTGTTGAGATAGTAATTAGCGTAAAATGCATAGCAAGGATCGCTTGGGACACGCCTTTATTATTAAATTTTTTAATCTCATAGTTGCACAGTGGATGGCTATCAAAGTTGTCCCAAAACACCGTCTAGACAGTTTCAATGTAGATAATCGATTCTCTTGTACATAATTTATAATCATTTACATATATTAGATCTAGAATCTAGATAATATATCTAGATAATATATTTTAATTACTCGTGATAGTTTAACTGGTGTATTTTTTATGGTAATTATTTACTTAACCTCCTTATTTATTTAGCTTTACGATGACACAAAATGAAGTGGAAAATGTTATTTATTCATTAGGATAGCATAGAAAGAGAGAGAGAGAGAGAGAGAACATATTTTATTGCACACCAAAACACATAAAATCAGAAACAGTCAACAAGCAGATACGTTTGTACAATAGGCGGTCTTATCGCTAAAAGCGATCTCTTCCAGACAACCGTTTAATTACCCGATATTCTGGACAGATAAAGATACAGTAGGTATGATGCGGTGTATTAATAACAACACACTTTTTTAGTGGTGGTAGGACCTCTTGGGAGTCCGCATGGGTAGGTACCACCACCCTGCCTATTTCTGTCGTGAAGCAGTAATGCTTTTCGGTTTGAAGGGTGAAGCAGCCGTTGTAACTATACTTGAGCCCTAAGAACTTATATCTCAAGGTGGGTGGCGCATTTAGGTTGTAGATGTCTATGGGCTCCAGTAACAACTTAACACCAGGTGGGCTGTGAGCTCGTCCACACATGTAAGCTATAAAAAAAAATCTTTAGCACTTTCTTTGTACCTTCTTTCCGTACCGTATCACATAAATCTAATAACAACAGACCTGCAATGTAATAGCAGACCGCGGTGGGATCATCCGATGAGGTCTCGGGGCTGCCAGTTCGCATCGCCTTTGAGGTGGAACGGTGCGCCATGTTTTGGCCAGTCGCACCATGCCCGACGCATCCAGCAGTCCGTAGCCAAACGAATGCGAAACGTTTCGTCCCACGCCGTTTATTCTCCACTCACCGCTCAAGCTCAGTCGCTCGGGACGAGCTGTTCTGACAACTGCGAAAAAAATAAATAATACATACTTATAGTGAGGGGTAGATCTCAGGGGTATTTTTATTCAATAAAACTATGGGTCAGTCACTTATATCAAATTTCGAATTCAAATCTTGTTAAACACACGAATTTTCGTTTTAAAAGGATAATTACAACAAGACGCGGGCGCACGCTACTCACACTCAAAACGGAAGCGCCCGGAACATAGATTATACACTCTGTTAAAAGACGGACATAGATACTAAAAACTATGTACAGCGAGCGGGCATACGGCCGCGAGAGTGACGTACAGGTCGGTTTGCTATATACTTAGTAAAAAAACTAACAAAATAGGTACGCTTTTATAGAAAACCTAACAAAAAAAAATTGAAAATAAATTTTAATATATTTGAATTAAAAATATTGTAAGAAAAAATGATTTTATTGTAAAAAAGCGTGGGGTGCTTTTCAGGATATTATCAAAATAACCCTTCTACTCATATCTGTTATATATATATATAATCAAAATATTTTTTTCTTACACTATTTTTAAATAAAATTTATTAAAATTTATTTTCTTTTTTTTTTGTTGGATTTTCTATAAAAGCGAGTTGTGTTAGTTTTTTTTAAACTATTATTTATTTTTCATTTTTTAGTTGAATTTCATTGGAATTGTCATCGATCCTTAATAAGTATACCAAATTTTGAGTTAATCCGACGTTTTGAAGGGGGACAAAATCATGTTCAAAGATTCCGTTACATACTAACATATATACATCTGAAGCTAATAAAAGCGTATTAAAAACACTCATGATACACCAATAAACAACCTTAACTACTAAAAGCGAACATGGTTTTATTGTCATATAGCAGCTACACTCAAACTGCGGTTCGCCGGGCTTATGTGGTTGTCCCGTTTGGTACCGAGAAAGAATATTCATTACGTAATAGAATATGTAATTAGTTAACCATTAATAAACGGTTATATTTATGTATTTTGAAGTTATGTTACAAAATCAATAACTGAAATAAGTCCAAACGTATTTCATTGCAATACATAGTAAATAAATTTTCGATACGGTTTCTTATTAATTTAGCCTATGAATAATTTGAAACAAACAACTGCTTATGACCACGAACATAGCAACGTGTTTAAAATGTTAGGAAATGACAAAAAAACGTTAAAATATACGCTACGATGAATCCGTTCATAGTTGTTTAATTAAAATTGTAACAAGCTCGAAAATCTAAGAAATAATTACCTAATTATTATTTTTTGCGACACCACGTCTAATACGTGTTCGTTGCCCCTTTAAAAAAAGGTTGAGGACCGCTGTCTTAAAATCCTATTTAATCATACTTCACACATTGACAATTACTAATTGTATGTATTTTCTTGAAATATTTTCAGAATGTTCAGTAGATGTTTATTAAAACATTAAAAATAAATATTGTTTTTTTAAACGGATTCGTATAGATTTCAACACTAGACATCTTTAAATTGCACGTGAAGTACACTTTTGTCGGCTCCATTTCAAATACACACTTACTAGTTAATCCACTGTTTTGTTCAACTATGTTATTTAATACTATTGTTACGTTGGTAAGAGTAATGCCATCTCTCGTCGAATCGAATATCAAAAGAACTAGTAATATCGAGAACGGTCGAGAAGTGTAACGCCATCTATTATCAAATAGAGGAAACACATTATCGAAACGACTGGTCTTGCCGGGAATGTTCTCGATAATTGTAGAAATGTCGTATCGACTATCTATAAAACGTTGCAGATCACAAATATTAAATGTATTTTTATAGTTGCAGAGATGACATAAAGGGAGTCAGTAATCGGTTCCATTCGAAGCGAAACAGTGAACTTTCATTTTAAGCGAAGCAGAAGAAGTGATTTCGATTTGTAAAGTGTCCCTTACGTGCTTAATAGAGTTTTAATTTGTACTTTGGTGGAAGGGTTATTTATCCCGAGCCCTAGCGCGTAACACTATTTTCGGAATATTTCATTACAATCTCCACATTTTGAGTTGAGAACAGTCAGTCAATAGGACACTTTATTTCATATAAGGGGTACGTAAGTGAACAACGAACCACGACAGATTCGACCGTAGAGGTTCCTTTATGGAGTTCAGTACTAAAACAACCCTCATCAACTTATGAGTGCTCCCGGAAGCGACTGATATGTGGATTATGCGCCCGAATGATATGGACTAGCCCAGTGATTTAGAGTCATACTCGGATATAAGGACTGCCGTACTATATTTTACGAGGACTATACCCTTTGAAGAGACCGTTAGAGAATTTGGATGTAAGCTTTGAACTATATTTATTTCCTGATCTGATGTGAGGCGTATTCATTTTAAATTTGATGATGAAGGTATGGAATGCTATGAAGGAAGGATGATAATTCATTTAAGTCCAGATGGTATGTTTTTCACGGAAAACAGTAAATTGTGGAGTATTGAGCAAAATATCCCATTAAGGTTTTATTTTGGTGCTTTTCGTTTATTTTTGGATTGATAGTTGTGTTTTTTACCCTTATTTATCATATAAGGAAATAGGTTAATACCTAACAGGTTCTCAGCGTTTCTAAATCATTCATTGTTGAGTGATTTACACGCTCCAGTGGTTTGCACTGATTGCAATCTAAAATTTCGAAACCCAAAGATGAACAAGCTGAATTAACTCGTAGGCTTTTAATGGATGCTGTTATTTTTATTAGAATTCTTCTGCGGTTCAAGATAGACAAGATCCTAAGTTCAGTAAACACGAATGTAAATTTAATCAGTTAATGTTTAATTTCTAAATAACATTATTGCCGATACTGTGGGCTGAGCGAATTTCATGAAACATTATCTTCGTATCCTTCTATCGTTATTTCATCATTACTTTTAAAAATATCAGTAAATTCATTCTTTGTTATCGCGTTCATAGTAAGTACTATGTATCATATTATATGTATTTTTATGTGTGTGGCGATGACGATTTCATTTGTATAATAAAAACAGGCAACATTCATCACAGCAGCTTTTTCTATTGCTTAGACGGGTGAAAGTACTCACGGCTCACCTAGTGTCAAATGGTCACCGAAGCTCATAGACATCAACAACGTTAATCCCGTCACCCACCTTGAGACATGACTTCTAAGTCACAATTTTACAGTGCCATTCATTTTATTTACATTTTATTTCTAACACGATATTTATTGTTAGATTACAAAAAACACTAGTTTCAAGATATAAAAAGATGCCACACGATTTTGTTAAAAAACTGTACCCAATACTTCTAAGTATAATTCCTAACCATATTTTTGATTGCCTATTGTAGGCAGACGAGCATACGGCCCACCTGATGGTGAGTGGTTACTGACGCCCATGGACTTCAGCAATGCCAGGGGCAGAACCAAGCCGCTGCCTACCTAAGCTAATAACCCTCAGACACAGCCCACTGAGTTTCTCGCCGGATCTTCTCAGTGGGTCGCGTTTCCGATCCGGTGGTAGATTCTGCGAAGCGCGACTCTTGCTAGGGTTCGTGTTATCAACGTCGTCAGGTTTGAGCCCCGTGAGCTCACCTACTAGTTAAGGTAACGCTGGAATAGTCTCGACTAATAAATTAACACAAAACAATAGATATCGTTTCTTAAATTTAACAATTTATATTCATTGCGAAACTAAGAAGAAATTGCTTCAGAAGTATGTAACAAATTGATCACAAAATGTTTGATGTATTCACGTATCATTTACCATCTCATATTCAATACAGCGTAACAGTTATTGCGTACGAAAAATTCAGTCATATAAGTCGATCCAATATTCATTTGAGTCAACGAGTTAAGATGTACTTATATTTTCAGGGAATCAAGAAATGGGGCCGAGCTTAAGGTCCGGAATAACATATAGTCGAAGCCGTTTCTCGAAATCAAATAATATTTAACTTGAAAGGTAAAAGAACGCGCTTTGGAATATATAAATATAATATAAATTTGAGCCAAAAAATGAGCCAGCGACGCCAGGTGGGCGAGGAAAGTCCTCGAATGGAGGCCACGGATGGTGATGGGTACGGTGGACCGACGACTTAGTGCGCACGGCGGGAAGTCGTTGGATGCGGAAGGCGGAGGACCGCATTATGTGGAAGGCATTGGGGAAGGCCTATGTCCAGCAGTGGGCAGATAAGGGCTGATGATGAATACAAATTTAGTGAATAATTGAGAGTGAGTAAAATATGAGTTTAAAGATAAAAAGAATCGACATAGTGCGTTATTTATTCATCCCTTTGCTTGCCAAAGTTAAACGAAAACCAGACGAGTGTCGAACAAAGTGAAAAATACTATGTTAGGAATAAACTTTTAAAAGTAAGGTAGGCTTATGGTACTTAAAATATGGTAGATTTTTAATACTTTGAAAAGTCTGGCAATAAATTTCCCTTATTAAAAGAAAAAGTTAAATTAAAAAACATAATTTCGTTAACTCGTGATATCGAAAACGTCCTACGTCCAAAAACGATTAACATATTTTGCTAAAAACATTTCCGTTGATTTTTATGGGATTTCTTTGAAAGCTCAAAGCTTTATTAGTGGTGGTAGGGCATCTTGTAAGCCCGCACGTGTAGGTTACTGCCCCGCCTATCTCTGAAGTGAAGCAGTAAGCCATTCCGCTTTGAAGGGTGGCACAGCTGTTGTACCTACTGTAAAAGCTGAGACTTGGAACTTATGTCTCAGGGTGAGTGGCGATATTTGCGTTGTTGATATCTCTGGGCGCAAGTAACCACTTAACACTAGGTGGTCCATGAGTCCGTCCACATATTAAAGCAATACAAAAAAAAAGCTCAATAATCCCAAAAAACAAATCAGAGATTTACGTCAAATTGATAAATAAAAATAAGATCAATACTTTTTACAACCCGAAACAATACGTTAAAAGATGTACACGTATAAAAATATACTTCTTCATGTTTCTTAGATATTTCCTAAAAGTGAAGATAAGAAGAAACGATCGTCAGCTTCATTTCTCAAGTTCCGAACGCTACTACTATCCTTTTCTCGTAATCTAAAGGTCGATTGACAAAATAACATCAGTCTGGAGAAAAAATGACGGCCCGTACTCTATAACTCTTTCGGCCTATTCGATAAAGCAATCAGAAAAGTGTTCCGAAGAGATATATGTATGTATTGTATATAACGTAGGGAAAAGGAAATAATCTGGTTTCTTCGTAAATCTATCTTCAATATTAAGACATGTGTGTGTCAGATTTAATGATACAATATTGTAAAAACAATCGATGCTATATTTAATAATACTAGAGGTCCCGCAGTAGTCGAAATTCGACTATAATTAATTGGAATTGTAAGTTTGTACACTATTATGATTGTATTTTATACTTCAATAATCACAAATTTCGCCAAGACTACACTATAAAAATATTAACAAAGACAAACAATATTTAATCTATTCTCAATTTGACAGCAGACGTCAAGAACAAAAGTTTGACAATAAATAGTATGCATGCGTGTGTGCGTCAAACACATGGTATGTAGTGTGCGTAATGTTTTCTTTATTGATTTAATGTATCTTCTATGCATAATTTAAAAAAAATATTAGCATTGTGCACTTCTTCTCTATATTCTCTATAAGTGTGGAAAATTTCATACTCCTCCGTCCACGCAATTTTCGTAAAAAGGGATACAAAGTTTTTGCTTCACGTATTAATTTAATATTATAAGTATGAAAGTTTGTGTAATTGTTTCCCAAAAAATGGTTAAACGAATTTGGACGGAAATTCGCACAAAGATAGTTTATAGACTGCATAATAAATACGATAGTTTTTTTTTGTGGGGAACCACACAACTCAGCTAACAAAATCAAATCAAAAACTATTTTATTCGATTAGCGTGGGGGCTTTTATGTCGTAATGACTTTTCCATCAATTCGTAATGCAGTTAGTTACACCACTGAATAATCCGTAAGAAAGCTCGGGTTTGATCTTGTCTAAATTTGTTATTGTTATTAAGTTTACAAAAATGTTATTAAAGATGATGTGATCTCGAAGAGAAAAAATGGGGTGCATTTGATGAGGCCTAAACTCAGCATTACGTGGACACGGGGTGAAGAACAGATCTAGAAGAATCTAGTCTGGTTTAGCGAGGACTACCAAAAATCAGTTCATACTGTCTGAAGCATAAATTCAAGCCCACTCGCTAATAAGCTTTTGTTATTGAGGTGTGTTTAATTTTAAAACTAGTTTAATTTAAATCCAAAATATGTCTGAAACTCTGGTCCGTGCTCTGGAATGAGTCTTAGATTTTTTATGGATGTTAAACGATCTTTGAATTTACTTTTATTTTTAATATCTATCGAATGTGTATAACTTATTTAATACGCTTTTATTAGCTTCAGGTGTATGTATGTATTATTGAACATGATTTTGACCCCCTTCAAAACGTCAGATTAACTCGAAATTTGCAATACTTATTAAGGACCGATAACAATTCAATATTGAATTGAAATATGAATGAATATGAAAAATAAATAATAGTTTAAAAAACTAACAAAATACGTTTTTATAGAAAATCCAACTAAAAAATAGAAAATAAATTTTAATAAATTTAAATTAAAAATAGTCAAAGAAAAAATTATTTTATTGTAAAAAAAGCTTGGGTCTTATTTTTTCTTTTTAGTTTTTTTAAACTATTATTTATTTTACTATAAAACTTTTAATGGGCATACATGACGTTAGCAGAAATATATCGTGATGCAATTGTATATAGCAATGTACCATTGAATTTCATAGCATAATAAAAACGAGAATATGTTCGCTCATGATTCTACGTATCAAGGCATCTACGAATCGATTAGCTGTTTATGGACTAGAGGATGACACAATCAGGTATTTTCTCGGGGTAGTTTAATATTTTTTATTTATTTATTACAAATTTAATGGAGATGAAACCGCAAGGGATGTATAGTAACTGCACAAGGAAATCAAGAAGGTTATTTTGAATATATTATTACAAAACAAATTGAAAAAAACTGTCATGGCAGAACGATCTCAAAACTTATCTTTAATTAGTCTGTCCTACTCACATAATATAATATTAGCATTCAAAGACCTACAGAAATATGCCAGCCTCAGATTCGCACTACAAAAATTTGGTCCATTTTAGTTATACAAAAATCTGACAATTGTAACTAACTTAATTTTTATTCTTACCAATATGCTGCATGTCTCGCCATGTTAGATCTCTATTAGCCTGTAGTGCCAAAGCGCATATACCGGCTGCAAGAGGGGCCGATGCGGATGTACCCGTGTGACCGGCTGTGCAAGAGTGATGCAAGTCCGTTGTTACCACCTGCCAAAAAATATTATTTTACTGGTGGTAGGACCTCTTGTGAGTCCGCACGGGTAGGTACCATCACCCCGCCTATTTCTGCCGTTAAGCAGCAATGCGTTTCGGTTTGAAGGGCGGGGCAGCCGTTGTAACTATACTAAGACCTTAGAACTTATATCTCAAGGTGGGTAGCGCCTTTACGTTGTAGATGTCTATGGGCTCCAGTAACCACTTTAACACCAGGTGGGCTATGAGCTCATCCACCCATCTAAGCAATAAAAAAATATTAAAATAAATAAATAAATGGTGGCAGATCACACAAGGCCTTTTGGCAAAAAGCAGAATTCCAACGGGAAAACCGTAGACTATTAAAAATACGTTTAATTATAATATATATATTCCTAGATTCTAACCACTCAGACAAAAAACAAACAAACTTGTTCATCAAATGGATATTTGCTTGAAGTAGGAATCAAGTTCTTGTCGACCTTATCGCTTGCGACGAAGGGTTCGGCGAGTAAATTAACACACAGACACAGCCTACTGAGTTTCTAGCCTGATCTTCTCAGTGGGTCCCGTTTCCGATTCAGTGGTAGATTCTGCGAAGCACTGCTCTTTCCAGGGATAGTGTTAGCAACGTCACCAGGTTAGACCCCTGTGAGCTCACCTACTCGCTCGAAGAATCTAGTATAACCCCTCGAGGTGACTAGAATAAGTAAGAAAAAGAAGAAGCTAAATATTATATATGAAACGCAAGAATATTACTCAAACGTGGAAAAACGTAACGCCATAAACTTGTTACAAATAAAAACATCGTTTCATACATGAAGTCCAATAAAAATGTAATGTAGCGTGCACATAAACAAAGCTATATAAGGGAAAATACAAAAAAGAAACCTCTATAGAGACACGTAAAATAATTCCTGGAAATATATCTCCAGTAAATTCTACAGTCGAGCAGAAACGGTTCCATATTCCATTGAATACTTTACAACGCGGATCTATTTATACATTCTACGAAACTCGCAATAGTTTTTGTATCATCGCTTTATGTATACCTATCACGAGCACTTTGTTTCGACCCAAAACTTTTAGCAAACTTTGATTGAGAACGTACCCTCGCTTGGTGTAGAACCGGAGTCGAATTGCCAACTACATTACCTTTTGGGCTCACAACAAAACCAACCTTTAATTTATATTCAAATGACATAATTTTATTTACCCGAATCCCGAGCTAAAAGGGCAAGACCTGTATTTTCGGGGTAACACACCGAGATGGGGCGGCGTAACTACTTTTACTGTAAACAGGCATAAACGTTCGAGACGTTTAAAGGAGAATCCTTTTGATATAGAACAGCGTTTGAACAAGTTCGAATTTTGTAATATACACACATGATGAAAAAATATAACAGGTACATTTATTTTTCTTATTATTCCTATTATTATCTATGTATTCGTGGCAATTTTAAGGTCTGCAATGGACAAGTTGAGAAAAAATATGGAGGAATTGCAACAAATATAAAGCCACAAAAATCCGGCTAGTTCGGGCACTTTTGTTCCCCATAATCTTGTAAGCTGCAGAATCGTGGACCCTGCAGGAAGTAGAGAAGAAGAAGATAGACGCCCTAGAGATATGGTAGGGGGGTGAATACTCCGAATATCGTGAACCGAATTCGGTACCAACGAGTCTATACTTCAATAAATCGGCATCAAGCAGCAGTTATCATATTACAGTAAAGTCTCGTTTCCTTCGCTTTTTTGGTCACGTATGATGCCGAGGGGTGAGTGACTATTGAGCGACTTGTATTCCAGGGAAAGGTTCAGGGTACCAGGCCACTAGGAAGGTCACCTATGAGGTGGACCGACCAGATAAAAGTGGCAGTAAATAGCACCTAGTCATTATATGAATGCATGAGAAGGGCAGCCACCCGAAAAGAGTGGCAACGTGTTGTGAAACTTGCCACCAACACCTGAAGTGACGACCATCATAGATAATATAAATAAATTAGTAGGACCACGACCACTCAGTCAAGAGTGATACTAACAAAGAAGAAGAAGAATTATTATTTCACAACAGCACCGGATATGTATGGTCCATCAATAAAAAATGCAATTTGGGTCCCAAAATTGTATAGAATTTCATGATATAATAATACAAAAATTTAACAAACAAGAAAACCCGCTTCACAAAATAAAATAAGTAGAAAATCGTCAATGTAGTCTAATTCAATTAAATATGAATTATCAAGGATAGCTAAAGAACTACTTAGTCAGACCTTGATAACATTAAAATGGGAACACACGAGAAGCCCCAGCTTCCCAATAAAAAAAAATAGAAAAATCATTAAGATTGGTTCATCTTGAAAGATTTTCTGACTTAACACACATAAAAAATACAGTCGAATTTTAAATATCTTTTTTCACCTAATTCAAAAAAAGATATTTAAAATTCAACTGTATTTTTTATCTTTAGTTAGTAACTTTTACTTTAGTTTAGTTTAGTAAATATATTTGTTTTAAATGTACCTGGTTCTCGTTTATTGCGCCACTGCTGTACGTGGCCGCTAAAGTCGAGCTGCATTTCTCCGAGTACCAAGGGACGTCGCCGCGTTCCGTTGCCGACGATATCGATAACGTCCAAATCGAGTTAGTGTAGCCGTCGCAGTTGCAGTTATCGTGCTCTTTGCCGCCGTTTCCTGACGCCCATACAAAGATCGAACCTTTTCCATTGCGACCCTACGGAGAAAAGAGTATAACTTTAATTTAAATTACGAAAAATATTCTGAATAATCTTTGGCAATTTAATTCCATGTTCATTTCATTAATTGTATCAAAAGTTTCGTTATCATCAATAAGGCTCACTGTAGTTTCGTGTTCAGATCTGGTGTTTTTTTATTGTTTCTATAGAGTAAACCTATATTTCGCATATATTTATATCAGTGTGTAGTTAGTTACAATTGTCAATAATGTAATTAAACCACTCGAAACAATGTTCGGGAAGTTGATTAGCTCGTACATTTCTGTTTGTTCGATGCAATACGTAATGGCTTTTAGATTTCGATCCACGAATGGACCAACAAAGGCATATAGAATCAGAGCTTTGAGTGCTTACAAATCAATTTAATTTTATACGCAGCGTACATTCATGAGATTGTGTGTTGATGATACCTCGTTAATAATTAGCCTATAAACAAATTGGTTGTATCACTGTGTAGCTTAAATACAACTTGTTGTTGAATTGCCACCGTGACATTTTAAATTGTATTAACTAGGGACTGAAGTCCTAAAACAAAATTTATCGAAACACATTTTATTCTTAAAATATTTGATAAGTCTAAATCAATCAGAGTACAATGAAACCAAAGTTATTTGAAAGTGCCTCCAGTCAATGTAAATATAAATTCAACAAAATTTTCTAATTTACGAGTGCCGATTAATTTATTTTATAAATAATTTCTATTTGATATTGACTTATTTATTTGCAAGTATAAAGGTCACTTTGTCGACTGTATTTAAGTTAGACAGACAGACTATATCGTGTTCTATAGATCCTAGGCCGCAGTGAATATGAGTACACATGCCACATGCCAAATTGACTACGTAAAATAATAATTGTTATCGAAACAAATGTCTAAAATACTTCATATTCGTCGTATAACTTATCCCGACTACTACTTTAAATCTATCTTCTTAATATATATTGATATATATATGAGTTGCTGTTCGATAGTCTCACTAAAACTCGAGCACGACTGGACCGATTTGGTCTTGAATTATTTGTGGAAGTCCAGAGAAGGTTTATAAGGTAGATAAATATGAAAATGCTCGGAATTATATAAAAATAACAATTTTCTTTTTCCTTTGATGTGTCCCCCGTCGAACGGATTCCTTTTGTTTGTTTTAAGTTTATTTTATACAAAAGTTTAGGTATTTTATTTATCAATTGAGGCACTACGAAGTCTGCCGAGTCCGCTAGTTTCAAATAAAAGAATTATACATCAGATTGAAAAGTTTTATATAACTAGTCAGGTCATAAGTATTGTCACACAGTAAAAACTTTTCTTTTAGAATGCTGGCCACAAAAAAGTTTATTGAATTCGGATTTCGAATTGTTCATGAAAATAAAAATGTATACTTTTAGAATTTTACTCATTTTTAAATATGGAGTGGACGCTTAAAGAAGACCGTGTTGCAGTTATTGCGTTGCATCGTTGCGGTTACGCGCCAATTAAATTTTTTAACATACTGAAAAATTTGAATATAACCAAAAGATTCGTTTATCGTACCATCAAACGATACAATGAAGACTCTAGTGTAGATGATAGGTCAAGAAGTGGTCGCCCTCGGTCTGTTAGGACTCCAGCAGTGATAAAAGCTGTGAAGGCGCGAATTCAAAGAAATCCCAAACGTAAGCAGAAACTGTTGGCCCTTCAGATGGGGTTAAGCAGAACCACGGTGAAAAGGGTGTTAAATGAAGACTTAGGGCTTCGGGCATATCGAAGAAAAACAGGACATCGTTTGAATGCTCGTCTAATGGACCTGAGACTGAAGAGATGCCGCGCTTTGTTGAAGCGGTACGCGGGAAAAAAATATCGGNCTTTGCCGAATTGACTGGGTACAATTGTAATCAAAACAAATGCCTAAAATGATTCATATTCGCCGTATAATTACTAGTTTCGTCGTGGCCTAAAGGATAAAACGTCGGGTGCATTCGTATGTAGCGATGCACCGGTGTTCGAATCCCGCGGGCGGGCACCAATTTTTCTAATGAAATACGTACTCAACAAATGTTCACGATTGACTTCCACGGTGAAGGAATAACATCGTGTAATAAAAATCAAACCCGCAAAATTATAATTTGCGTAATCACTGATGGTAGGACCTCTTGGGAGTCCGCACGGGTAGGTACCACCACTCCGCCTATTTCCGCCGTGAAGCAGTAATGCGTTTCGGTTCGAAGGGTGGGGTAGCCGTTGTAACTATACTGAGACCTCAGAACTTATATCTCAAGGTGGGTGGCGCGTTTACGTTGTAGATGTCTATGGGCTCCAGTAACCACTTAACATCAGGTGGGCTGTGAGCTCGTCCATCCATCTAAGCAATAAAAAAAAATTGTTTATCTCGGGCTACTTTATGAAATTTCAAATAAAAGAATAATCCGTCAGAATTGAAAAGGTTAATAATACCTACAAGAACCTCTACAGTTGATCAATGATTAATTTTGTTAGTCTAAAATCGAGTATAATTTTTTTCGATATTAATTTTTCGATTACCGTTACCAGAAATAAAAATACCAAACCGCAAAGAAAAATATCCTTTAAAGTATGTTTATTAAGCTTCGTTACGTATCCTCTTCAGGAGCTATTAAAAGAGCAAAGACTATAAAAGTTAGAGCCGAGAGACGAGTTTAAATGTTGTTTTATGTAAACAAGTGCCCTTACATGGCGAATAGAGTATAGTAAACAACATTATGTAAATTTCATGGTTCGCGAGCACTTGACCATATAGTGTAGGGAATAGAGAGAAAATAATTGCGTCATTACTGAAATTGCTTTGGCCAAGTGTCGCCTGGCTGGCTGCGCGCCCTCCGCTAACTCGGTTACGAAAATGTCACTTAGCATTAAACATAAAAAGGACCTTATCGCGTCTTCGTAAGTGCCACAATCAAGTGAGCTTAAAAAGGTAACAAATTAAAATTTTGAAGTGCGCAAAGCCGGTATTGTGACTTTTCATTATGCCCCCGCTGTTAGCGGAGCGAAAATTTTACGGGCCATTCACGTTATTCTATATTAGGATTTTTGGAGGCACAGCGAAACCCATTCATTTCTAAAAGTCCCATACAAATTATAAAATTGATTAATTAAATATCAATCCGCTTTATTCTTATCTATCGATGAGTGTAGACGACATCGAATGACCTTGTGTTCAAAGTTCTTATTGTTAGATACCACAACGTGAATGCTAGCTACCACACCAGCAGACAGTGTTTCAAAAGTGTTTTGACGAATGTCAATCGAACAGATAACGCCATATCCCGATGTTAACATTGAATTTTTGTCGACGTTGGAATTAAAATAACTAAATACATTCCAACACTATATACATGAAGAAACAGTAGAAGGGGAAGAGGTCGACCGAAGAAAACATGGATGGAGTGTGTGAATGACGATATGAGAAAGAGAGAGAAGAGTGTTGAGATGATGGCTGATAGAAGACAATGGAAGAGAAAAATTAGCTGTGCCGACCCCACCTAGTAGGATAAGGTGGAGAAAAAGAAGATATATAAATAAACAAATTCTTACCTTAGTAACGCCTTCAATAAATGCTCTCGTCGCCAATAGTCCGGGCCCATCCACAGTCTTTCCATCATCATCCGGTCCCCACGAGGCACTGTATATGTCAACGTGTTGAGGATTGAGACTCAAAGATCTGGCTTCGACGACATCTGTTACATCACCATCTAACATGCGGACGCCTGTTTTGATACAAATAATACATTTAGTATTTGAAAAAAGATATGGAATTGGTTATATTTTTATTAACATACATATTTTATCATAATTATTTGAGACTAGCTGACCCGGCAGACTTCGTAGTGCCTAAATCGATAAATAAAATACCTAAACTTTTGGATAAAAAAAAACAAAAAAAAAAAACAAAAGGAATCCATCCGAACGGGGGACACATCAAAGGAAAAACAAAATTGTTTGTTATTATATAATTCCGAGCATTTTCAAATTTTTTCACCTTTTAAACCTTCTCTGGACCTCCACAAATAATTCAAGACCAAAATTAGCCAAATCGATCCAGCCTTTCTCGACTTTTAGCGGGACTAACGAACAGCAATTCATTTTTATATATATATAGATTAAACCGGTACGAGAAACCGTAGACAGTGAATCCGTTGAGTTTGTTTAAGAATGAAGCGTGCATATCTGATGTCAATGAGCAATGACCACTCATAATGAGGTGAATTCCTTGTTGTCTAAACGATAAGACGCTCGCCCCATGTACTCGTGGCAAGCGACGCGAGCGGGTCGGTGTTCAAATCACGTAATTAGTTTTTCTAGTATTAATACCACAATTCTATCTCTCATCAACCGAATGATCATTGTTCTATTTTGTGTTACGTATAATATTTTGTATTCAAGTTTAACAATATTTGCTATGTGTATATGCATTACTATAATTCTCATGTTGTATTTGTTATTTTAGTTATGTGTTATTTGTTCTACACACACTCATCACTTTTAATTATTATTCTCATAATCCTTTCGCAGGTCTGCTGAAAGAGATTTCTTAAAGAAATAAGCAGCGCCTTTGTACATGATTTTCCTATTACTCTGTACTATGTCTTCTTTTCTGTGTGTACATAAATAAATAAATTATAATGAAAAACGTAATTAAAAGATTTTCCACGATGAATGATCGTGTAATAAACACGAAACCATCAAAGTATTGTATAACGATTAAAATATACATGTCCCTAATAATCAAAGGTGGAAGAGAGATGTTTGTGTTTGGTAGATATAACCACCGCACGTCCAATCCGCAGCCTTAACACGTGGTGGGTTCAAAAATTTTCAAATTAATCTGAAGTTGTTTGTAACAATAACAAAGACAAATACAGAAGGGTAACAAAAACCAAGTAAATGGCAAATAAATCTGGAAATTTAACAATAATACTAAAAAGACTACCAACTTTTATCTTTCTCTAAATAAAACTGTAACGCGGTATTTCTCTTTTGATTGTACAATAAAAGTGTGTATTTCTTTATACGTATATTAAAAGTTATTAGGCACTTTCACATCCAAGAACTAGTTCTTGTTTAGAACAAAAAGACGTAAAACGTTATGCCGTCAATAAAAAATGTATTTACATATATATATAAAACAGCGTAACAAGCGCTGAGAATTTTTTGTAACACAAAGTTTATATGAAGTAATTCCTTTACAGCGTTACGTTCGGAATTGTAATTTCAACGGTTTACATTTCACGAACCAACCATATATAACCTGGGTACACTGAGTTACTCCACCAATTCCGAGAACGACCCTGATAATATATCGAGAAAGTTCTTTCGTATGATATTAGTTCTGTTAGTATGATTCTAGCAAAGCGAGACTTTTCAGAAACCTTTTTATATTTAATTTTACTCGTTATTAAAGCATTTACGTTCAAAAAAACTCGTTTTGTGGATCCGTCAGAGTAATTCAATAAAATAACATAAAAAACTGAATTCAAATAAGTATCTTTGAAACTTAAATTAAGTGATTTCTGTGAATGATCGCTGTGATGCATATTCGTATCTTAATTTTCTCCTTGATTCTTTCGAACCTAATTAAGGTGTAAAAAATATATAGTTTTTCCATCAAAGTTGAAAACTCCTGAATTCACGACCATTATATCTAGAACACATTTATTACTGGTGGTAGGACCTATTGTGAGTCCACACGGGTAGGTACCCCCGCCCCACCTATTTCTGCCGTGAAGCAGTAATTCATTTCGGTTTGAAGGGTGGGGCAGCCGTTGTAACTATACTGAGACCTTAGAACTTATGTCTCAAGGTGTGTGGCGCATTTACGTTGTAGATGTCTATGGGCTCCAGTAACCACTTAACACCAGGTGGGCTGTGAGCTTGTCCACACATCTAAGCAATAAAAAAATTTAAAAAAGAACAAGGGGACGTATCAGGCAGTGTAATGAACTAGGATGTTTATTTAAAGCCGTAACAAAAAATACGTCACTATATGCACGATATTCAGACACCGTATCGGTACTAAGGTCAACCGTATATTCTAATGTTGGCACCTTATCAATTCTCATATTACCTCCAACTCGAGCACCGAACGCAACACCGACTGCACAAAGCGAGTTGTTGGCAGTGGCGGCAACTTCGCCGGCGCACCTCGTTCCGTGCCTATTTGAGTCTATGACGTCATATCTTGGCTGAGGATCCGGATCGAGCCCGTTCACATCGTATGATGCAGCTGGGTCCTGTTAAAGATAACAATTACTATGTGGGAACATACCTAATGTTAAGTGGTAATATTTTTAACCTACCTATGGGTAACCTCGAGGGCTATACTAGCTGAAGGTGTAGGCAAACTCACTGGGCTCAACCTGACGAATTTGCTAACACTAGGCCAGGTAAGGGCAGCGCACCACCGGATCGGAATCGCGACCCACTGAGAAGATCCGGTGACAAAGTCAGTGGGCTGTGTCTGTGAGTTAATTTTCGCGACGAAACTTTTGTCGCATTTTGACAACATTGACCGGTCGGTTATTGGAATGCCTAAAAGCACCAATAGTGGATCGGGAGGATCCGAAATGATGTGTTTTGAGCGACGGCGACTTTTTACCATTTGGTCCACAGAATCGGTTATATGGTTTCCGGCAGGCACAAAAATAGGGTTATCGTGTATCGCGCCGTTTTTGCGAAGTAATTGGTTATCGGAGCCTATAGATATTAGAAATAAAATGCCACTACTCGCTACGAGATTAGAAGTCGATTTCTAAACTTAGAGTAAGAAGTAACGGTTGTTCCACTCCTAGAATCGGAATAGAGGACCACTTCGCGGCAGAAATAAACAATATGGCGACATCTACCCGTATGCTTTCAAAATGAGCTCGGCCAGTAATAACGCAAATTCATAAAGTATAATAATATTTCCTTCTTAAGATAAACTTCAGTGAAAATGTTACAAGAAAGAAAATATTTACTGAAAATCCGGTCTAGAATTAGCCTTATTTTTTCCTAAAAATGCTCTCTTAAATTCGTTCTTAGGAAAAGTGATTTTCTACACAATAACAAAAAGCAATTAACCGTCTAAATTCTTAATTTTAATATTTCGTGTATAATACAGTGATAACGTAAATCCATAAAGTATAATAAAATGTCCTTCTTAAGATAAACTTCAGTGAAAAAAACGTTATAAGTGAGAAAATCTTTACTGAAAATCCGGTCTATAATTAGCCTTATTTTTCCCTTAAAAATGGTCTCTTAAATTCGTTCTTAGGAAAAGTGATTTTCTAAACAATAACAAAAAACAATTAGCCATCTAAATGTCGCTATTTTAATATTTCGTGTATAATTAAAATCCTCAGATGCGCGATGTTAACATTCCAAGCACACTGATCGATGCTTCCTCGCATTCACAAAACTAGGCTCTTGATCTCCTCGGCTTATGATTTTCGGAACAGATAACACACATACATGTGCGTTTACACTTCGTTTATGTAATATCGGGGATAAGCACGCGAGACTAATCCCGGTGGATGTAACGTCACTTGACGTAACGAGAACGTGTAATATAACTCGACCCAATTACCCGTTTTTTTTCTGAACGCTAACAGTGAAATTAAAGCCGCGCTCGCACGTAGCCGCGCGGTACCGCACGGCCGAGATGAATCGTGTAATTTAAAACTCGAGTCCTTTTGTTCGACTCGCAGATGTCACTCGGCGCCCTTTTATCACGAGCTGAAGATTCCCGACGGATTACCGTTACCGTACTGATTTCATTCGAGTTTTCGAACGCGTCGTTTTCGCTTAGGAGTGTTTTCGAATAAGATCGATATGCAAGAAAACGACGATAGCGATTTACAGCGGGAATGTTTACTTTGAAAGCGACTTGTTGGTTTACAAGACAGATGCACGATAAGATTAATCTAATGAAATAACCGTTTACTGTCTGTTATTTAGAGTAATCTCTATCTGATTTCCAAATTTGATTTGGTTCAAAATTACATAATATTATATAATATTAGATACTCACGTAATTCGCGACGAGATCAGGGTGGTCAGTTTCGAGGCCATCATCGAGGATCGTTACGACGACTCCTCTGCCAGTAATGCCTTCCCGCCACGCTGGTATCACATTCATATCTAGGCCGCCACCACGATTCTGAACAAGAAATAAGCATTTATATTCTAAACTATTTCTACTATCACTATTATTACAGCTAAGTTCATCATCATTAATCATTCTCCTGCACTTCTCTCAGTCTATCAATTACAAGATTGTTTATTTATATTCACTGAAGAAAATAAAACAGTTTATGGTTTATTTAAATTAGTAAAAGAAATAGGTAAATGTCGCAACTATTTGACTTATGCAAATGGCACAATTTAATACAGTTTTAAGGCAATTACAAAAAGCTTCAATCTGATTTAAATTTAACAATTTGCGGATTACAAATTTTCTGTTCTTGCTTGAATTTGTTAGGACAAACTAACAAACTTGTCTTCTTCATAAAAACTACATTATTTGGACATTCATAACTAGAATACTCAACGGGCAGATATTCGTTATAAGACCTAAAACATAAGGGACTATGTGTTTATTTGGCCTAGAATTGGTATTCTAAATATAATCGTAAATTAAAAAGTTTTCTCTAACAAATAAGGAGGCTATTTTCCATTTCAATAAACCCATACAGGTATTCTAATGAAAGAAATAATAAATTCTCCAATCTTTGCCGGCGCGTATCATAATCTGGCTTCACCGGGACGGAAATTTAATTTATTAAATGATACTTTTACTAAAAAGGGGTTGCGAAAAACGTGCCCTTGCAACGGCAGCGAAACGAAATGAAATATCATCCGCAACATCGGTGCGGCCACCGGAAAGTATTGACAGATCGTTTTGTACACGAACGAAATTAGTTTTTTTTTTTTTCATTATAAATCGATTGGATAGGAAATTGGGGCTTACTTTATGTTAATGTTTTTACTTTCTTTTTAGTCCTACGGTAGTGCCAGGTAGAGGGGGAAGAGGTTGACTGAAGAAGACATGGATGGAATGTGTGAATGACGATATGAAATTCGTCGTGGCCTAAAGGATAAGACGTCCGGTGCATTCGTACTGAGCGATGCNGGCCACCGGAAAGTATTGATAGATCGTTTTGTACATGAATGAAATTAGTTTTTTTTTTTTCATTATAAATCGATTGGATAGGAAATTGGGGCTTACTTTATGTTAATGTTTTTACTTTCTTTTTAGTCCTACGGTAGTGCCAGGTAGAGGGGGAAGAGGTTGACTGAAGAAGACATGGATGGAATGTGTGAATGACGATTTGAAATTCATCGTGGCCTAAAGGATAAGACGTCCGGTGCATTCGTGTGTAGCGATGCACCGGTGTTCGAATCTCGCAGGCGGGTACCAATTTTTCTAATGAAATACATACTTAACAAATGTTCACGACTGACTTCCACGGTGAAAGAATAACATCGTGCAATAAAAATCAAACCCGCAAAATTATAATTTGCGTAATTACTGGTGGTAGGACCTCTTGTGAGTCCGCACGGGTAGGTACCACCGCCCCGCCTATTTCTGCCGTGAAGCAGTAATGCGTTTCGGTTTAAAGGGTGGGGTCTATGGACTCCAGTAACCACTTAACACCAGGTGGGCTGCGAGCTCGTCCACTCATCTAAGCAATAAAAAAAAAAAGACTGGAGTGAGTGTTTAGATGACGGCTGATAGAAGAGAATGGTAGAGAAAACTTAGCTGTGCCGACCCCACCTAGTGGGATAAGGTGGAGAAAAAGAAAAAGAGTTTTTACGTTATTTTTCTTTTTTGGTGAAGAAATCGTTCTTTAAAAATACTTTTGGGATGACGACTACGTTATCTATGACCAACAAAACTAGGGTAAGGTTTTCGAATCGTTGGAAAAACGAATATCGTAGCGTTCCATGGATTCATCGTATAGGTGCCGGGTACATCATGTTGCTAAGAGAGGAATTGAAGAATGTTAGTCGAGTTATGACCCTGATGTTTATGGGGCTTGTATCAATGCGCAATACGTTCACCTCCATTCTCTGCATTGATCTCCCTGCTTAGTCAAATTTGGTAAAAATCTACTAATGCCTATTTATCCTTTAGATATTCGTTCAAGTATAGAATTTGGTAGGTTATATATATTTCGCTGATATACATCTCATTCCCACTTCGACGGCATATAACTAACTATAGATCCTTTTTTGGATAGTTTGTAAGAATACTGAAGAATTACTGGTGATAGGACCTCTTGTATTACTGATGGTAGGACCTCTTGTGAGTCCTCACGGGTAGGTACCACCTGCCTATTTCTGCCGTAAAGCAGTAATGCGCTTCGGTTTGAAGGGTGGGGCAGCCGTTGTAGCTATACTGAGACCTTGGAACTCATATCTCAAGGTGGTTATATCATTTACATTGTAGATGTCTATGGGCTCTAGTAACCATTGAAGGCCAGGTGGACTGTGAGCTCGCATAAAAAATTTATTTTTATATGTTTCTATTTATTATATGGTCTTTAGGTATATTTACTTCCCACGGTATATACATATGTCTACGGCTCAGTCTACGGCTCACAAGATAAGATGAAAACATTGACAATTTTAGTGTAGACAAATTAAGAAGTAAAAATGAGCATAAAGCTTTAATTATTGTGGTGCAACAATAAAAACCAATACATATTTTATTTATTATTTTATATTATTTTATATAGACGCTACAACATTATTTATTTGCTACGCGCAACATTAATATGAAATTAGTTGTGATCTAATCTTTAAAAAATCGCTTTTGTACGGATCTGTGTAATTTTTTTATCCGTGCGATTCGAACTGTAAACAATAATTTCAAACCACTGATAAGGAAAAATCTAATAATGCTCGCATTAATACAATAAAACCAATTACAACATGAGTTCTTATTATGGACATCCGGTCATGCCAATAATGATGTTAGCAATTTTATAGGAATTTTATGTTTAGTAAAGCCGCAATGAACGCGTACAAAACTTTGGGATCGATAACTGCATTCGCGTATCGCGCATCAAAACACAGGAAACAAAAATATATTGCATTTTTAGTACCCTTCATTTTCAAAAGCTTCTCCAATATAACCCGCATTATCATTATTATCCACGAAGTCTATCAAAGCAAACGGTTCGAATGATTGGTAAAAAGATACTCAACTTTTTAACGATCCAAAAACATATGCGAATGCTCAGCAAGAAAGACTTAAAGGCACATTACGAATCCTTGGAAGTTTCCGCGAATATTAATAGCATTTATCTGTATCTTCGGGAGTTAGTCTAAATAAAACACGTATTTTTGGTTTATGTCTTGTCAATATTTTAAGGGCGCCGTAAAGTTGTGCAAAACAAAATTAAACTTCCCTTTTCGTTCGTTGAAGCCGTCGAAGGAAAACAAAACTCCGAAATGAGTGCTTACACTTTTAACCTTTACAGCTTCTCGATAATTGTTTTACCGTAATTTATTTAGTGTTTTGATAAAATCGTATTCGATGAAATTTTCAATTTTCATGATCAAGTTTCTTATTCTTTGTCAACTTTGTACGGATGGTCATTGTAATGCCTACACATGTTTATTCTTTTATTTTTTTCTTATTTTTTTATATCATTAATTGATTTACTTAATTTATTATAACATATATTATATATATATATATATTTAGACGTATTAGTAATCCCCCGGTAGTCGAAATTCGACTATAATGAATTGAAATTATAAGTTTATACACTCATCATCATTTTAGGCAAATATTAATAAAGACAAACAATATTTAATCTATTCTCAATTTGACCACAGACTATAAGCAAAATGAAAAGTTTGACAATAAATAAATAGTAGGTATGCATGCGTGTGTGTGTGGGTGTCAAATACATGACAGTGTGTGTAATGTTTTTTTATGGATTTATTGAATTTTTATGCATATTTTTAAAAAAATATCAGCATTCCGCACTTTTTCTCTTCTCTATATTTTCGATAAGTGTGGGAAATTTCATGCTCCTCTGTCAGCGCAATTTTCATAAAAAGGGGTACAAAGTTTTTGCTTTACGTATTAATATATAGATTAGGTACAGTATAATAAACTCCTTAAAATATTTGCGCCAATCATGCAAATCGAATTTCATGATAATTATTAACATTAATGAAGAAGACTATACTAAATATGTAATATATGAGTTTGTTGGTTTCTCCTTTTTCACATAGAAACAAAATATTGGGCTATGCTAATTTTTACCAAGGCTTATTACTTTGTAGTTTATTACCTTAGGGTAATTGTATTTTATTCCAGGTGTGACGACAAATAAGAGCATAATTTTTTTTTAATGCTTAGATGGGTGGACGTGCTCACAGCCCACCTGGTGTGAAGTGGTTACTGGAGCCCATAGACATCTACAACGTAAATGCGCCACCTACCTTGAGATATAAGTTCTAAGGTCTCAAGTATAGTTACAACGGCTGCCCCACCCTTCAAACCGAAACGCATCACTGCTTCACGGCAGAAATAGGAAGGGCGGTGGTACCTACCCGCGCGGACCCACAAGAGGTCCTACCACCAGTAATTACGCAAATTATAATTTTGCAAATTAAAATTTAAAGAAGATTGGATTATATATTGAACACTTACTAAATACCACATATGAGGCCATTTAGGGTCATTGAGAATAAATTTTAAATCCGCCGAACGTGTTCTTCCCCTTATTCGTGTGTTCAGCTCTCGCTTCCTGTCCGCATCTCGCTTCGACGCAGCCGAAGAAGAGGGCTCCGATGTTCTTGTTTCAGCTAAATAAATAAAAACATAAATCAAACTTCTGTTGACATCCGAACACGTTTTTTCAAATAATAAATCTATATATATAAAAATGAATTGCTGTTCGTTGGTCTCGCTAAAACTTGGGAAAGGCTGGACCGATTTGGCTAATTAAGGTCCTGAATTATTTGTGGAAGTTCAGAGAAGGTTTAAAACGTCGATAAATATGAATATGCTCGGAATTAAATAAAAATAACAATTTTGTTTTTCCTTTCATGCCCCCCCCCCCTTCGGACGGATTCCTTTTGTTTGTTTTAAGTATATTTTATACAAAAGTAGAGGTCTTTTATTTATCGATTGAGGCACTACGAAGTCTGCCGGGTCAGCTAGTAACTAATATTTCTATCAATCAATATCTAAATATCTTTGACACGAGACAATGGTATGTACCAGTATTAAGAATAATAGTATACAATAGTAACATAAAAAATGGAGGTTGACTCCATGTGTAAAGTTTGATTGATTGGGTAATTAGTTGTCATGCTTGTGGGTTCTATTTATACCTTATAACTAGCAGGCTGGTCATTCCATGTATGGCGAAGATTTTTTTTGAACACATTTTTTTTAATATTACATATTAACGGTATAGATAGGCAGATCACTCATCACGAGACTTTATATATGACAACACGAACATCATTGCCAATCTTCTTCGTCTTTAACCTGTGTCCACCTAATACTAAGTGTCTCTTCATATGCACTCTATTCGATTCGGTCTCTTGCCTTTCGCATCCAGTACTTACTAGCATTTTTTTTAGCGAAGAATGATTACTGGTGGCCCGGAAGCCCTTCCAGTTTCACCAGGATAGATGAGCGAGCACGGGCTCAGCCAGGAGGGGTGGGATTTGCTAACCGCTGCACGAGCGCCCCCAAAGCAGACCTAACGGCTCAAGGGCAGTTACATCACGAATGCATCTACTACCGGACCGGAATCGCTTCCTTACCATCTATTTTACTATCATTGCCAATCACGACATCAATTCAAAGTTGATAGAAATCCACAGTGCAGTGACATCTATATACGCGAGTTCATAATAGCCCGTTAACAGTACTACAAGTAGTTCTAAACGTAATACCGAGAACAATGTTTACGCGTTAAAGGAATGATTCTCATAATACGCTTTAATAAATTTCATCGCAACATGTTTGCGGCACTGGGTACTCTTTACCAGATTTCATAAAGCAATAAGAGCAAAGGAACGCTCGAGAGCAAACGTCTCGAGTACACTCGTGTATACTGTCATACGAACGGATAAGCCACTTTCTCGGAAAATATACTTTTCTGACAGCACAGTAATAAAATACAATTCGGTTACTATTGAAACAAAGATACGTTCAAAGATACAATATTACCTGTCGAGTATAATGTGGATATGATTTGAAAATCCCTCTTTTTTCTTGACAGGATTTTTTGTTGTTCAGCCCATCGTACCCTGCTATCACCTTCTAATCTGCCGTGATGCTCGTGGGCTGGCGTGAGGGATCTCTTCGTTAGTGAACGATGATGAAAATGGTAGTGATCGTCGAATATCTGCGAACAAAAATGAATGTAAGGTTTAATACTCAGCAGAAACTTTTAGGAAGATGACGAAATCTTTTTTGTAAATTGTAAAATCAATATTACTTCTGTTATTATTTATGCGCAGAAAACGCTGATAATGAAATATGTACTTTAATAACATAACTAGAATTTTCAAGTTTCCTCCCTGTTTCAAAATATTTTTATATTCCAAATCTATACTAATATATAAATCTACAGTGTTTTTTACGGATGTTCCGTTATAACTACTGAATCGTGCATCCGATAGACTTGAAACTTGGTATCCATGTAGAAAATACATGTACTTAATGGATAGGCTAATATTTACATGAGTGTTGGAGTTAATTTTAAATTCCCAGCGAAGCGGGCGAGTATGGCTAGTACTTTGTGAAGTTCAGGCTAGTTATTACTAGGCATAACTTTCGGTACTCATATTTCCACTGTCATAACAACATTATTATATTTATTATACATACTTTTAGACAATGTCGGGTCGTAAATTTTGGTTAATGAAGTACTCTGTGTTTACTTGATAAAACTAGTTGTCCTCAGGGTTTCATTCGTTTCAGTACTTTTCCAGCGTCGGAAAGCTACAGCTATCCGGAGGGACTATAAATATTTCAGGACTGTATACGGATTTTTTCAGTAGTAATTTGCAATAGAATGCTATAAAACTTTTGAACGCGCGCATATATACATATGCAGTTACAGGGCGGGTAGGACGGTACAACTGTGAAATATTATTGAAACTGCTTTCACAAAGTGGCATTGGCATTGTGATTTCTACAGGATTAACTGTATTTACAACAGGATTAATTGTAACCAGTTAACATCAAATGGGCGGCGTGCTTCTTCAAAATAATTAATTAAAGTAGTGTTCGTTGAATCATCAAAAGTTGACCAAAATCACATACGAGATTTAAAGATTTACATTCGTTTTGTCTACATTTTTTTTTTGTTTTTTACATTTTCTCTTTTTTCTTTGTCAAAATGAGTGATATTTGATTTTTATAATAAAAATAGTCGTAAATAAAAAATGAAAATCTTTGTAGGATTAAGAACAAGCGACCTAATGGTACTAGACACGTCTGCCTATTTATTTTCATCGTATTTATTAGAGACTGTACCGATTGTTTATTGCTTGTTTTGTGATACGAATTGTCTAGTAGACAGGAAAACATGTTTCGGATGAACATAAATAATTCCATTTAATTTGTTCCGAAGATTAAAGGCTACGGGAAATGTATCTTGTACGATATATTTACAGAAAAAAGACGTCCTTCAAAGTAACAACAAAGCCAAATGAATTCGGTACAAACAAAATTATCTCACGCGAAATTTGTCATATGGAAACTATAATAAAATATCTCGATTACCATATTTTTGATTTTTAGAAATCAACGTTTGATTATTTATTTATTGCGAAAAAGAAATTATTATAGCTGGTAATAAATTGGAAACTTGAAAAAATTTTTAGTCTGTGACTATATAGCCAAAAATATAACTGTTGTTAACTCATAGGTATTTAATTGTATTTACTTTTAAAAATTTGTCTTTATGGAGTGAAATATATTCATTTATACACTATTTTATATTACAATATTCCCTATCAGGTCATTTCCATGATTTATTAGATAGATTTAGGCATATAAAGATACAATTCTAGATGAGCTATTTGTAATTTAAGTCAATGTTTATTGAGATGCATTACGCTGCCAAATTCGTTGAATGTTACATTTCAACGATCGAGTAGAATATTCTGGAAAACTGCGAAAGAAAATATGTTATGAAAAAATATTATACGTTGAGCATTTTTAAGCGGTGCCTTAGGTTGAATGAAGCGCTGGAATTAGTATAAAATTTTACTTTGGATTTTAACAGTTTAATTCGATTAATCTAGAGGAGTCCTATACCTAAATAAGGGTTCCTATCGAAGAAAAATAAACAACAATAAAATTAGATCAAAATGTAAAAATCTTATATATTTAAGAATATTTATATGTAATACTTAGGTGATGGGAAATAAAAGGTTTTTAAAAAAAAAATGTTTAGTAGGCGGCCAATAAAATAAAACTGTTTGTTGACTATCATGAAAAATAAACATTAAATTTATATTTTTGAAACAATTTTTCTCTTTCGTATTCATCGCGTTTCAAAACTAGGTGCGCTTTAGTTCAGTGTGAGCATACAGTGTGGCTCCTTGCGAGAACAGCCGCAGGGCGATAGCGACCTCGTATTTTAAGAAGCCACGTAAAAAAGGGAACTTCCTACAGCCAACGTTATACAATATGCAACGCTGGAATATATTAGGGATGTACCTAATGACATGCAATAAGTTCTGCGTGTGTTGTTTTATTATTCAAACCTATACTCTTTTCGTGTTCACATAAGTTATTATGTACATTACACATATTTACGGAGACTTTATGGTCTGACTTGCGGTAGGACCTCTTGTGAGTCCGCACGGGTAGGTACCACCGCCCTACCTATTTCTGCCGTGAAGCAGTAATACGTTTCGGTTTGAAGGGCGGGGCAGCCGTTGTAACTATACTGAGACCTTAGAACTTATATCTCAAGGTAGGTGGCGGCATTTCCGTTGTAGATGTATATGGGCTCCAGTAACCACTTAACACCAGATGGGCTGTGAGCTCGTCCACACATCTAAGCAATAAAAAACAAAACAAAAAATTAAGTAAGAGTATTTATTTTTTTGTTAGGAATTACTTGCGTGCATTCCTAAGGTACCAAATCACTCAAAGATTGACCCGTCAATAGTATTGCATTAGATTTTAGTTTAATAAAAACAAAAAATCTCCGAAATTTTACGTTCAGCATGACCGAAGCGAAAATTGGTCCTGTCGTTCTAAAAAAATGTTTACCTTATAATAGGATAGACCACTCACTATAAACCTACTTTGAATTCTTAAGTAAAGGAAGGGTGAATGTCGTATATTATTCTCAACATCCCGCTCCTTAGATGTGGCTTTGCCTAAGGGCGGCTCGTGACCTGGGCATGTTCATTCCTGGGTTTCGTCTAAGTGTGTTTTTGTACGAAAATCTTACTTATTTTTTTCAATAAATGTTGTATAAAATCTTTAGATCGAATTGACCTTGCGTCACTCAAAATTTTTTTATGTTCATACTTTTGTATGACCAATTGAAGAACCGAAATAACTGTAAGAAAATTTAACGTTATTCTTTTTATTGCATTTATGTATGGACAAGCTCACAGCCCACCTGGTGCTAAGTGGTTATGGAAGCCCATAGATATCTACAACGTAAATGCCGCCACCCACCTTGAGATATGAGTTCTAAGGTCTCAGTATAGTTACAACGGCTGCCCCATCCTTCAAGCCGAAACGCATTACTAGTTTACGGCAGAAATGGGCAGGGTGGTGGTACCTCCCAACCCGTGCGGACTCACAAGAGGTCCTACCACCAGTAATTACGCAAATTACCATTTGTATGTACAATGTGCTTTGCCCTATATAATCGTCAAATACAATGCAATAGTGTTTTGTAATGTTTTTGAAGTTATATGTACTTCTTTAGGCTCGTTATGAAAAATTGATGAGAGTGAAATTTTACGATGCGCGCGCACCGTGTCACAAAATTAACAGAAATGAAGTTGCCCACTAAATCGCTCATTACAATACGACCGACGTAACTTGGCGGGTCTGAATATAGCCGCAGGTGAACTTTCCGAACCGTACCGAGAATTACCGAATTTATACGATGTCAAGAAAAGGGATGTCCAATATGCGTGTTTGAGGATGTTGTTTAATCGATTTTCTTTCAAATTGATTAAAATTTAAATTAAAAAAAAGAAATAAATTTAATAAAAATAAAGTATAACTTCTTACGCGCGTACATAAGTACACGCACTCTTTATTTTCATAGCTTTCGACAAAAAATTACTTGCATTAAACATCAAGCAATTGTGCACGTAATACGTAAAAGTATTACTGGTACCATTTTTTTTTACCAAAACCATGTCGATCTCGTGTTGGAAGCCATCGACATATTTTTCCGATATTTTCTTTTTCAATCAACGCGTTCCGAATTCGAGATCCCAGTCAGTTTGCATTCAAAAGCACGTTGACGGAATCCTGTTATCTTTTCGGTGTGTGTGTGTGTGTGTGTGTATTTTCATTGACAAACTGGTTGTTTTTTTTTCCTACCTATGCTGATAGCCTTGAGAGGCTATTTCAGCTTCACCCTAACGTGTGTAGGTGAGCTCACGGGTCTCAAATCGGAGTGTTACAGCACTGACCCTAGCAAGAGTAGTGCTTCGCAGAATCTACCACCGGATCGAAAACGCGACCCACTGAGAAGATCCGGCGAGAAACTCAGTGGGCTGTGTCTATGGGTTAATTCGCTCGTCTAGCCCTTCGTCGCAAGCGACGGGTTCGATGAGGACGGTGACCGGTGCTTGTGGTGCCTAAAAGCACCGGTCATGTTTACCATTCGGTCTACAGGATCGGGTCCGGTTGATAGCGTGTGTTTGCGGGTTCGCGTATGCTAATAATACTTTCAGAAACGAAAATGTGATTTCACAATTTGAAAATTAGGTTCATTTTCCAACTCTATCAGACCGTTCCAAGAACAATGATAAAATTGTATTGACGAACAATGATATACAGTTTGAATGCAGAATGATTCGATTTTTCAAATATAAATAACTATAATGACCGAATAGTTCAATGAACTCACTTCAAAATTAGTTTTTTGCATTCACTGGAGGGTAACGAATGTGGACCGCTTTTGTCCTAATTTATCTGATATAATAATAAATCAATGTTGAAAATATTTAGCCGCATCAAACAAAAAACTCGTTAAATGTTTATTTAATAACGAGCAATAAAAGTTATTTTCCTATATAAATATGTAAGTATATAGCGATCTGTCAAAAGTCAGCATTTTAAAACATAAAAGTATGAGACAGTTTTGAGCAATTAATTTAATTAATAACTGTGAGTTTGCTGATTGAC